AATTAACAAAAAGGACCCCAAGGAACATTATAGCACAGAAATTAAAACAATGATCACTTGACTTCAAGTAGTAATATAAGCATGAATTTAACATATAGTCTATGGAGTTTTCCACGAAAGAACCACAGTCTCAGAACGTAAGTTTGACAAGTTCAAAAACATTACTTCTCTAGAGATTATAATCAGTAACAACATATAAATTTAGAACATATTTTCTATGCGTATGGCAACTTCCGGTTACAGACTCTTAAGAATTTCGAAGAACAGTGGTATAAGATAGCGTCTTTTTTGTACCATAGTATAAAAATCTTAATTAATTATCCTAATTGTGATAAAACTGTCCAAAAATTTTTTGTAAGTCATAAAATCATAAAAACATTAATATTTAAAAGAAAATTGCAATTAATTTCAACAAAAGGACCATAATTAATTCGAAAACAGTCTCTAGCTAATATCAGTCTATGAACACAAAGTACAATGTAAACAAATACAAAATTGAAGATAAATCAGTAAGTACTTATCTAAAATACATGTGACGCAAATCGATGCAATCCACGGAAGCTGTAGATTGCATAATTTCTACACCTGTTTGGCACAAAACACGATCCAAAACTTCACAAAACGAAAACCCCATTGCTGGAATCTCGCAACACTAAACCACAACTAAGTATCCAAAATCACCATAACTTTGAAATTTGCAGGTCGAATTTCACAAAATTGGTATCTACTTGATCAGGAACACTTTATGCACACATTTTAAAACATGAAAAATACCGACTGTAGCTATTTCCACCTTTAAAATCCACTAAAATCGGAGCACGAAGTTTAACGGCCAACACCATCGACGATCCGACGCCACTCGGTTTATCAGTACTACGTTTCAGAACTTCTAATAAGAGTAGGGTTCACCCCAGATTCGGAATCATATAGCAATGCAGAATCAGAAATGCTTGCCTGACGCCTGACAGAAACATGAAAAATTAAAAGACGCCATTTAAGTTAATATTCATTTTAATAATATATTTACATGAACAAAAGTAACATGAGTCAAAGATAATATTCGACGTTTCGTCCACCGATTTCAATGCACTCCCTACATCTACGGCGCATGAAATTCCGAATATTCTGGAATATTTCTGGTATATCTCGAATTTCCTCGGCAGTTTTGGGGGCCCTCTTCATAGGCCCACCCAAAAAAAGACATGATAGATCCGGTGATTGAGCAGGCCAACGCGCCCGACGATCACGTCCAATCCACTGTTGGCCAAATCAAATGTATAAGTGGGTATGAAATTTATGGGGCTGAAATGAGCAGGAGCCCCATCGTGTTGGAAACAAAATGTCCGTCCCATCGATGCAGAAATCTGTTCGTCATCTAAAAGTTGTGGCATGACTAGCTACAGAAAAACTGTGTAGTTAAAAGCCGTTAAACGGAAAGGCAACAGGTATGGTCCGATGAGGTGATTCTCCACAGTACCGGCCCAAACATTAACCGAAAACTGACTCTGCGCTGCACGATATCGTGTTTCATGAGGGTTTTTTGCCGCCCAGAGATGGGAGTTATACGAGCTGAATATTCCTTCCCTTGTGAAGGATGTTGCATAGGTGAACAGCACATTAGCAGGGAAACGGTGATTTGTAGCATACTTTTCAAGATACCATTGTGTAAAAGCAATACGATATGCATAATCGCCCGGTTGAAGTGCCTGGATACGCTGCACATTACATGGGTGCATTTCGTTTTCTCTGAAAATCCTCCAGATGATCGAACGGGAAACTCAGACTTCATGCGCTAAATTTCATGTGCTCAAATTTAGACTTCCCTGTACCTGATGTAGCACATTCTCTTCGATGTACGGAGTACGTGTTGATTGTGCTCGCTTCGTGGCAATTCTTTGAAAGGAACCTGTTTCTGCTAACTGGTGCAGCCTTGCAAAGAAATTATGGCTAAGTGTACACTTCGTAGAATATCGCTCCACGTACAAGCGCTGTGTGGTTGCCCCATTACCATCTGCAACCCCATATGCCATTTGCATATCGGCTAACTCCGTATTCATCCTACCGACTCTGTGTCCTTCTGCGAAATGACGATTCCCTGCAAGAAATCTCGGAACTTGCGCGCAACTCCATCTACAGCCTTAGGAAAGCATTTCAGACACTGCATTGTTATATGATACCGAGTTACTGAGGTGCAACCTCCCCCTCCAGAGGCGTAGCTAAGGTTTTAAGCCCCCGGGGACAACTAAAGATTTTGCGCCCCTTTCTGTGTTCCAAGAATGGAAAACATTTCATTCTAAAATTTGTAGCATCAATTTGGTGCCCCTTGGATGCTGCGCCCACGGACAGATGTCCCTCCTTGCAAGACCCTAGCTACGCCACTGTCCACCTCCTAGAAGTTCTGATACATATAGAGTGGCCCAGGATTATTGGGACAAACTTTAAGGGTAAGCAGGGAACATCACAAGGATTTACATTTGCATAGCAATCCATAGTGAGAAACATCTTTGTTCGGCGCTAGGTGGCGTTTTTACAACAGCATTGAAGGAAATAGACCTGCATTGCTGCAGTTATTTGAAATGTTATCTCCCGCAGAGAAGTATGGAACGTTTTGCGAACAACGAGCTGGCAGATATGCACTTGATTTACAGATTGGCAGAAGACAATGCACGAGAAGCAGAAAAATTGTACTGCGAAAGGTACCCATAGAGAAATGTACCGGACTGCCGGATGCTTACTAATTTGCATCACAATTTGTGTGAATATGGATCATTACGAGGTAATAGGCGTGGGCCAGGAGCGACTAGAACCCCCAGCATGGAACAAAATGTGTTGGATACCATTCGAAGGAATCCGAGTACCAGCGTACGAGCCGTCGCTGCTGCCATTAGATGATCTCGCAGTAGTGTTCATCGTGTTTTGCAACTTGAAGGCTCACACCTATACCGTCTTCAAAGAGTACAGTCACTTCTCCCCACAGATCATCCTAAAAGAAAGTTTGGCTGTAGAAAGTTTAGCTATAGTATTGACTGAGTTATTAGAGGACAAACAAACATACTTTCTTCTTTCACTGCTGCCAGATGTTGCAACTCTTGCTGAGATCCGATGGCTGAGTGACGTCATCTCGAACTATGAACTCTCGCTGAGAGATCGCACGAGAACTCTGAACGGAGAAGTCGCACACTGCGTCGTGCCAAAAAATTAATTTTTCATTATGTAAATATTCTGTAACCCGTTTGCGTCTTCATTAAAATATGTTTGTGTAAAGAATGTATTGATCATTATGGATTATTCCCTTCAAAGGATTTCAGATAGAGATGCACAGAGAAGATTAATTTCAACCAGTGGCCCTCGCAGAACACATTGGGACAAGGTAAGCAGTTTTGTTTTACCTTGATTAATTAGTTAGAAGTGTAAATAACTATAACGATAAGAGAGAAATAAATAATATTGTGGCACCCAACGTGGGCCACTGGGTTGAATTTGAACTGAAATTTAATAGATTTTTGCTTTAAGCAAAAACATGGATTTAGAAAAATTAAAAAAGAAACGATCTGCTATAAGAGCAGTAGTTACGAAGCTGATAAATAAGATAGAAACAAAAATTGCTAATGAGGGGGATAAAAATGTAATTGAAGAAACGGTTGCTCAGTTAATTAGTAAAGAAGAAGAACTAATCTTAGCGGATAATGGTATTGAAACTTTAATTGATGTAACAAATTTAGATGATGAAATAGTTTCTAGAGAAAAGTTAAATTATTGTTTGGTAATCATTTAGTCAATAGAAAAATCATCTATCCCAAGTTTCTATCCCAAGACTTGAACTCTGTGGTGCAGTGTTAATCGCAGTTAATGAATAAGGTGCGAAAGGCACTTATATTGAATTTAGATAAGATATATATGTGGTGTGACTCATCTATTGTTCTTGCATGGATTTGAAATTCTTCACATGCGTTAAAGACATTTGTAGCTAACCGAGTTGCCAAAATTCAGCAACTTACACACGAGTTTCAATGGCGATATGTGAAGTCAGAAGAAAACCCTGCTGACTTGATTTCCAGAGGTTTTAGCCCAGATCAAATTGAACATCTTAATGGAATTTTTTGGTGGAATGGACCTTCATTCTTAAGAACAGAAGTAGTTGATTTGTCCCTAACTGTGTCTCAGTCAGATTTAAATGAGATTTACCGCAAGGAAGTAAAGCAGCTATCCAAACTACTTCAGTGAATAATGACTCTCAACTTGACTTTAATTCAACTTATTTGCAAAACTTTCTAGTCGAACCATTAACTAATGATCTATTTTATAATGTTCTAAATATTACAAATAACTATACTAAATTATTGCATATTGTAAGTTATACTTTCAGGTTCATTTATAACTGTTGGAACCAAGAAAAAAGAAGGGGAATTTTATCAGTAGAGAAAGTTAATGAGGCAAAGTAGCATCTGATTCAGGTAATCATATTTTTGGAGGATATTAAAAACCTGAAAAGGACATCTCAAGTTACAGATAAAAGCTGTTTGAAATCATTGAATCCATTTTTTGATGAAAATCAGTTGTTAAGAGTAGGGGGACGTTTGCGAAATGCTAATTTAAATTTCACACAGAATCATCCCATTATTCTACCATCTAATCATCAGTTCGCTAAATTAGTAATGGAACATTACCATAAGAAATATCTGCATATAGGTCCACAAACATTGTTGAATTGTGTCAGACAAAAGTTTTGGCCTCTTAGATTCGGAAACTGGCACGACAAATTGTGCACAATTGTGTAGTTTGTAGAAGGACCAAGCCAATTCTAGTTGAGCAAATAATGGGACATCTTTCTCAGAAGCGGGTGAGAATAAGTGCACCCTTTAATTGCACAGGGATCGATTTTTTGCGGCCCATTTTATATAGAGTATAAACATCAACGAAAGGGACAATTTCAAAAGATATATGTTGCTATTTTTGTTTGTTTCGTCACTAAGGCAGTACATTTTGAATTAGTATCAGAGATGTCATCTGATGCCTTCATTGCTGCATTAAAAAGATTCTTCACTCGTAGGAGTAGAAGCTCGATCATATTTTCTGACAATGCAACAAATTTTGTTGGTGCTAGTAGAGAATTGACTAAATTGTATAATCATTTTAAGAACCCAGATGAATCTTTAGGAAATTACTTGACTTTTGAAGAAGTAAAATGGAACTTTTTTCCTCCTAGAGCTCCCTATTTTGGAGGACTTTGGGAGGCAGGAGTCAGATCATTTAAATATCACCTTAAACGTGTCGTAGGTGAAACAAAACTTACGTATGAAGAATTTCTGACAGTGACTCTTCAAATAGAAGCTATATTAAATTCTAGGCCCATCACTCCATTACCGGCAGATGACGATTGTATTGAAGCTCTAACTTCAGGTCATTTTTTAATTTTCAGACCTATTACAGCTATTTCAGAACCAGAACTTCTATAGAAGCTTGATTAAGCCGCTGGAAAAAATTACTAAAATTGTCCAGGGTTTTTGGAAAAAGTGGAGTAATGACTACTTAAATCACCTCAACAAAGAAACAAGTGGCAGTTTCAAAAACATAATGTTAAAATTAATTCTGTAGTTTTGATAAAGAAGATCATTTGCCCGTTAATAAATGGTCCCTTGGTCGTATTGTAGAGGTTTTCCCTGGAAATGATGGCAATATAAGAGTAGTCACTGTTCAAACTTTAAATGGTCTGTTGAAACGGCCAGTAACAAAATTGTCTATTTTGATGTAAACAGCTAAATTCTTGTGAACTTAGAAATAGTGTAATACCTTGATATTTTTGTATTATTTATCATGTATTTAGTATATTAAGTTGATTGTAATGTCATTATCATACATGTTTATTGCTATGTTTTATAACCAATACGGAATATTATGTATATTTTTTAAGTAAGTATTTATTGTTATAACTGAATTGATCAGGCGTCGCACGTGTCATGCACTTGCATGAGATCCGACTCATCATATCCCATTGATCTGTGAAAGGATCATAACTGAATTGATATTTTCTTGTATATTATTTGTTGAATGAAATCATTCAACGGGAGCCAGAATATTGCTGCCTTTAACTGTAATTGCGCCAAACTTGGCGATATTACAATTCAAACTGAATGCCGCCAACTAAGCGGGAAAATTATCAGTTCGTCTCGTAGAATTATGTCCATTTTTCCGGGCTCCTGGGTTCAGACCCTATCCGAATATAGCTGCATAATCTTTTTTTCGAACGTTGTGCATAGCATGGGAATTGCCTAAGTGAAGATGAAGAATTTTAAGCAATTATTTAGTAGTAGATGAGTAAAGTAGAGATGCTGAGGCATAACTTGTGAGAGCAATTATAAAAGTCCGAGTGATGAGTTGGAGAGTTGGAGAACGAGATGAGGAAAAATTGAAATACACTTCCCGAAGAGATAGTCCTACAAGAGTTGCGAGTCCGAGGCTGATTGCGGTCAGGGCTAAAGAAAGAGATTGCGGTATCTGGGTCTAGACAAAGAACAATATCTTTGGTCTAGAGTCAGAAAGGAGTCAGGAATAGCAGGCGTTTTTATTATTATTATTATTATTATTATTATTATTATTATTATTATTATTATTATTATAGTTGGCTTGGATGAAGAGTCATCAGGGTAAGTAGACCAATAGTGTGCTAGGGGGGAGGGGCAAAGGCTCTTTCCAGTTACATACAAATTTAGAAAGGAGATTTAATGGTTGAATGATGGGGGAAGATTAATTAACCAGCGTAAGTTGATTAATATTAGTTTAGCATTTAAATAATTGTTATTTTCTGTTTGGTGTAGTTAAAGCGAGTAATTTGATATATTATGATGCCTAGTAGGCTGAATGATTTTAGATTTATTCATTTTTTTTTTTTTTTTTTTTTTGGTCAGTTCGTTCGTCGGCAGACACCAAGCCTCATCGGTGCCAATTGTCGAGAACTTTGGTTCTAAGTAGTGTATCGCGTATATTATTGTTGAGTTTTAATAAAACTACTGAAACACATTATCGCCTCATACAGTCCACATTTCGACACAAACAGTGGGTACTGAAGGAAAAACGAAATCTTAACTAAACAGCCAGAGCACATCACAATTTAAATAAATGCTTATTTTGGCCTTAAAAGAAACAGCATATTTATTTTTATAATTTCCATACTTATTTGCAACATATTACTTATTGTTTTGACATAAGAATAAAATACTAAGCTTTTTAAGAAATAAGGCAACACTAATCATGGAAAACATCAACGAACGTTTTTTGAACTCAACTCGTTGTTGCCACACAGCGAATCTTAATAACTATGCAAATATATTACATCATATTGCCAATTAGAAAATCTTGATAATTATATAAAAATATTTTAAATTGTGTTCTACTACATTACCTTTATTTATTAAATATCGTGTTCTTCGCACTTAAAACATAAAATTCAATTCAACAGCAATATCACAAAATATTTAAAAGAGCATATCTTTAGAATTTCCGATACACAATCTCGCGCACTGGAGATAAAAGTGTTTTTTTTTTTTTTTTTTTTTTTTTCTTCGTACAGTGTTGCCATTGCTCCCTTTGAAATCAATGAGTTTGTTAATCAAAATTTCGTTAAAGTTTTACAAAATATGAAATAGACAATAAAACAAATTCTAAACTCCGAATTTGTGCTTCCACATGCCTATATTGAATGAAGGACTACGTTATTCAAAGTTTGATGTCTCTAGTTACCGTTGTTTTACCACAATGCGAGAAACATTCATACATTCATGTAGATTTTTCATTATTTAATTTTTTTTAATATAATGCAGTGCTCTAATATTTAGTGTCAACACTTCGAAAAGTGAAACGCCGTTTATAGTGAATCAGCGCAAAATGCCAAAACGAAATTAATAGCCCTTCTGGGTAAATTGGCCCTTTGGGTTAATGAACGTCTTATTGCTTTGGTAAACCAAGCCACGGTAAATCAACAGAAGTAATGTTACCAAAAGTACAGTAGATGGAATATCTAAACAAGAAGCATAAATTCAAAACAATAGAAAAAAATAATAAATAATTCTATCACGCTTTAGTGAGTGTTACGTTTTACGTCATGCTTCAGTAGAGGAGGAGTGGAGCGTTTTACAATTTGATATTGAACTTCTGCAGCTGATAAAATCTGAAAATGTGTCCTTGACAGAGAACGGATATGCCATTATTTCGAACATTGTTTCTTGATAAATCAAGATTCATTTTAATTTTGCCAATACGTTTCTCAGATAATACAAATGAAACATCATCTTGGCTTTACAGAAAGTCACGGTTGAGAATTTCACCATCGCATAATCATGCGCGCTGCAACATGCATCATCTGTTCTCAGGACTTGTCTCGCTACCATGATACGGCCATTTCATCTTGAATATTTCTAGCAACAAATTTAAACAGGCGTTTTTCATTTTTATAAAATCATAACATTTTATTAAAAGCGTATGTTTTGAAACAGAATAATTTTCCTGAAAAAAGAGCAGATTTTATGCTTCTTAATTATAGATAGATAGTTATTATTATTATTAGTTCAGTGATCGATCAAAAAATTGCAAGATATTCCTCGAGTAAAAAAAAGAGTGTAACTTAAGTCAATAGTATTTTGATTTTAAAGTTCTCTGATAAAAGAAAAATACAATCAACGGTTATAAAATAAGTTCACCACAGCGATGACAGAATTTCAAGGTTGGTACTATATTGATCTAAGATATGAAGTGAAAAGAAAATTGTTTCGGCATCGCTGCATTGTTTACAAGAGATGTGTATTTTTCAAAAGTGATTTTGGACTTTGCAGTGTAAAAACAAAAAATTATTTGCAAAACAATAAATGGACTATTAAAAAATTAAACGTATAAAACGTAAATTTTCACACGGAAATAGTCATTAAGATATAAAAGGGAAATTTTTTTAAATAAATGTGCTAAACAAAATTGTACAAAAATTTGAAATACAATATTCGCAATAAATGTGAAATGTAATGAGAATTATGGCATCATACTCATAGAAATGATGTTAAAATGTATTTCATGAATATTATATCAGACCCAATATCATAAAAAATCTGTACTATCGATCTTCAAATATTTTAGTAAAGCTGTTAGGAAAAGGATGATGTTTATATCCTTATTTCAAAAAAATAAGAAATAAATTTTGAAATCAAACATTCTCATTTAGTTAAACGTACATTTTACCGCTTGTTATTCCAGTCAGAGACAATTATTCCAGTCTTGAACAATGATGAGTATATAAAAGTTGTAGTTTTAACAGAGCTGAAATTTAAATTACCATGCGATTTTTCCGGACGTCCGAACCTACTGTTACGCAGGAAAACTAGAATCTTATTCAAGGAAAAAGATCCCAGCAGATTGTCTTTTACGGGAATTTTGACAGTTGATTTAGGAGTAAGAGTCGTAGCTAGGGTTTTCAGCTCCCAGGGACAACTGAGGATTTCGCGCCCCCTACTGCTTGCCAAGGATGGAAAACATTTAATTCTAAAATGTCGTAACATCAGTTTGGCGCCCCTCGGATTCTGCGCCCGGGGACAAATGCCCCCCTTGCCTCCCTCTAGCTACGCCCCTGTTAAGGCTCGTTCACACGAGTACGCTCGAAACGTAGCTGACGAACGCGCTGTTACGTTACCAGCGTAAAAGCGTCCAAACGAGTACGCTTGCGAAGAGTGTGTTTAACCAATAGAATTATTTTGCGCAAAAATCACGTGACGCTGTAATATAGCGTCAACAGAGCTGTATGTTATTACTTCGCTGTTCTTCTGTATGTTTGCGGCAAGTTGTCCGAATCAGATGATTTTTTTTTATAGCTGAAACTTTACTATTATGTGCAATTATTAAGTAGAGGCAAAACGGCAAAAAAATGGCAAGAATGGGTCCGAAAGATTCATTTAGAGCGACCTGCTCAAAGAGATTTTTTTTTTTTTTTTTTTTTTTTTTTTACTGCCTTGTTTGCGAAAGGAATATCCGGAATTATTAAACTCCTACTATTAGCTCACACTCTCCCTATATCTTGTTCAAATTTTCAGTACATAAAATGCTTTTTATTCATCCACTTAAGTTCAAATACAATTTTTTAAACTTGTAGTGAATGACACTTGATGTTAATACAGCTTTTTCACATATTAAAATTTTTTTAATTTTTAATTTAAAAAAATTCTGTTTGTATTTTTATTTATTTAATTATGTATTTTTAAACTTTTCTTTGTGGATCTAAGTAGGAATTGACTTAATTTTTTTTGGGGGGGAGGTATATTACTTGTTTTTTAATTCCTTCAGGATGAGTATCGACCAGTTTGACAGACTTGCAGATTCTATATCGTATGAAAATTAGGATTTATAAAATTGGTTTTGAATACAGTATATAAAGAGAATTAAATTACTTAATTCTCTTTATATACACCATCCACCATATAAT